AATCTAATGTAACTCATTTTAGTGGTGTTTAGATGATTTGTTGTGCTGTTAAAAACTTTAATTATTTAATTTATTATTATTATTTTATGAATGTAATGCTTTTGTGATGTTTTTATTTTTATTGCTTTTATTGTGAAGCACTTTGTGATTTGATATCTATAAAAGGTGCTATATAAACTTTACTCACAACTTAAAAAAAGGTAAAAAAAAAAAAAACGTGTTTTGTTACATTTAGTTATGACATTACTAAAGTGTTTCCAAAACAGGCTTAAATTGTCACGTTACCCAAACTTGTTTTCTGGTTTTAACACCTAATTTCCCTCTGGGATCAATAAAGTATTTTTTTTAATTGAATTGAATTGAATTAACTGTTTTACATAAGGGAGAGAAATATGTGTGCCCATTTTTATACAATAAAACACACCTTGTTTAGAAAAAAGTTGTTTATTTTACCAAGAATCATGTCATGAACAATTAWGCTTTTTATCAATTAAAAAAATGTTTTAAAACAATCAAAATTAGGAATTAGGAAATGTCAGATTAGCAGTTGAGAATATGCAGTGATGGTTATCACTCAGTTATTGTGTCGGCAAGGTCCAGTCGTTTGCATAACTGCTTTAATTATCTCGTCCAGTTGTTCCACTTCTGCAGTAGTTCATCTTTTAAACTTTAGATTTGCCTCAGCTGAAATGAGAAACAAAAGCATTAGGGCCCAATCAAATATTGGCATTCTGGTCGAGCGTAACTTGTTTTGTGTGGTGCTGTGGAAAGTTTTATGGCAACAACAACACAAAGGTTCTGTCATGTGGAGGTGTGTAGTCATTAACTGTAAAAGTTGCAAACTAAAACTTGAAGATGGGCATCTACAGTCAAAGTGAGGTGGTGCTTGGTTTGGTTTCCAAATTTTCTTAGAAGTTCATCCCATCAATTATCTAGTCTTGCACAGTATGGACAAACATGTGGCAGGAGTGTGCTTTTATTGGTAATTTGGATCAGTCAGAGGGACTTGCTAATTTTTTTAAGGGTCACAGGGGTCAAAGATAATGGATAGTTTATTACAGAGTCTTGAAGTTGATTTTTGGGATTACAGGAACAGCTCTAAAATGGTTTGAGTCTTATTTAACTGATAGATTTCAGTTTGTTAATGTTAATAATGAATCTTCTTTCACCAGAGTTAGTCATGGAGTTCCTCAGGGTTCAGTGCTTGGACMAATCCTCTTTACTTTGTATATGCTTCCATTAGGTAAAGYTATTAAACAGCATGGGATAMRTTTCCATTGTTATACTGATGATACTCAGTTATAYTTATCYATGAAACYTGATKAATCCAACCAGTTACTTAAACTWCAAGCATGTCATAATGACATAAAAACATGGATGACTCTTAACTTTCTGCTTCTAAACTCAGATAAGACAGAGGTTATGGTTCCTGAACCTCAACATCTTAGGACTAAACTTTGCAACTTTTCACCTTCTCTCGACGACATTAATCTGGCCTCCAGTTCTAA